TCCATCCATCCATCCTTCCTTCCTACCTTCTTCCATCCATCCATCCTTCCATCCATCCATCCATCCATCCATCCATTCATCCATCCTTCTTCCATCAATCCTTCTTCCATCAATCCTTCCATCCATCAATCCTTCCATCCATCCATCCATCCTTTTATCCATCCATTCTTCCTTCCTTCCTACCTTCTTCCATCCATTCATCCTTCCTTCTTTCCTTCCTTCCTTCTTCCATCTATCCATCCTTCCTTCTTTTCTTCCTTCCTACCTTCTTCCATCTATCCATCCTTCCATCCTTCCTTCTTTCCTTCCTTCTATCCATCCATCCATCCATCCATCCATCCATCATCTTTCCATTTGTTCAATGGTTAATCCATCTATTCATTCAGCAGCCATTTATTGAGTACCTATATGTGTCAGTTACTGTTCTAGGTGCTGGGATAAAGCAGTGAAATAATGAACAGATAAAAATCTGGGTCTTCCTGGAGCTCATATTCCATCAGGGTTTCCGTTACTCAGGCCCCAAGGGAGCTGGCCCATCAGCCCCTCTCCCTGGTTTGTGCAGGGCACCCTTTCTCTGGAGGCATTAGACTTGAACACCATTTCCCAGAACCCCCCAAAGTCACCTTGCTGCTTCTCTGGGCTCATCCTGGCAGAGTGGGCCTGGGAAGCAGTGTCTCTACTCCAGCTGTTTGTTTTAACTTGTTAATGGATCCTTGGCAGGGCAAAGGGGCCATCTCTCCTACCCCAGAGTCCCTGAGTGCCCATGAGCCCTCTGCCCTGCAAACTCCCTCTGCTCCCCATGTGACACCACCTGACACTCTGCCAGGACTGGTACTGCCCTTCACAGTGATGACTGGGTCCTTGTCCCCTACTAACCCTCTTCTACATCATTATCTCCCTCTTTATGCTCTGTCTCAGGAAAAGCAACTCTCCCCTCTCTGGCCAGTAGCAAGGATATTGCTGCAGTGATCACCAGGAGGGGCCACCCTGGACTTTGGAAGGACAGTTCTTCTAAATGGAATCACACTTGTAATTCTTAAACCACAGATCCTAACTTCTGTTAGGAATGCATGTTCCCTGCGACCCATGGTCTAGCATTATAAATCTGTGATTCTGTGTGTGTGTGTGTGTGTGTGTGCAAGCTCCTCTTGTTGCACTAGTGACCACAGTTCCCTAAGCCTGACCTACTCTCTGCCCATGCTGTCCCAGTAACCTGGACCTTTCTTCCAGCTCTTTCTCACTCAACCCCTGGCTTTGGCTGCTTGGTGAGCTCCCACACATCCTTCAAGATCCAACTCAGATGCTTCTTCCATAGAACCTTCCTTCTGAATCCTCTCCAGAGAGTCATTTCCCCATCTATTAGCACATATGACCCATGGCTGGTAATTATGTCTGTGGTTTCCTTTCTGCCCCATTGAGGGGCGCAGAGGGGAGGACATGATGTCATATCCAGTTCTACACGGTTCTTACCACGTGTCGCTCAGGGAATGGATATAAGTCATGCTTGCCAAATATCACAGGCTACTTACTCTCTCCCTGATGATTAAGTATGTATATGTCTTATCATGATATTAAGTGTGACATGACACTCAGCTGCTATCCGAAGAGACTGTATAGTCTCGTGGTCCCCAGATTCGCCTTGAATGACATATGGCCTGGGAATAATCCTGAATCTACCACTGGGGGCCCTGCTCTAGAAGGGGCCAGCCCACGACAGCAGGGGAATTAAGAGGACACATCATCCTCTTTGTCACCCTGAGCAGCTGTGATAGCTCAGACTATGTCAGTCCGTGTCTTCTCCATCTTGATTCCCCGTGGCTGTCCCTTGGTTGTGGTGAGGCCAGTGTCAAATGTTCCAGCCTTGTCTTGGCTGCACTTTGGCCCAGAGAGCAAGCAGGCTGTTTCCAGGCTCATCCCAATGCACAGAAACGGGACTTGTGATCCCTGCAGACAGAGGGTCTTCCCGAGAAACTAGAGCGAAGGCAAATCAGAGGAGTCAGGTGGCATGGTTCAGCTCCTCCTTCCAGGAAAGCAGCCCACCTCTGAAGCCCTGCACCAAGAACTGACCTTCATTTGCTCTTGCACTTAGTGGCTGCTCTATACCTTTGCTCCCCACATTTCTGGGGGTCTTGGTCCTCATACGTATGGACGTATACTAGATTAAAGTCCACTTCCCTCCTTTATTTCTGTGGCTGTTTACTATCCCTGTGAGTTACCTAAAGAGTCCCTCATGGCTGGGTGTTTGGAGTCCTTCCAACGTTAGTTATTTGATTAAACAGACAATGGGGTCTGGTTGAAGAAATACGGGCTTGGTTGGGTTCCGATCACGGCCGGCTCTGTGAGTCGTCGGCCTCAGTGTGCTGATTAGCGAGCTGGGTGTGTGTAGGATGGTGACACCTGACCCTGCCAGGTGAGGTGGAGGAGAGACGGCCAAGTCTTGCAGAGTGCAAGGACATGGCATGGACATGGTGCCAGTAACCGGTTACCGTGACAGTGAGGATTCTGATAATGGAAATGGTGCAGCGGATGTCTCCGTGCAGAAGTGTTTCCTGAAGATTGGTTCTTGGGGCAAACTCACAGGGCAGGGGGCCCGGGCTTTCCTATGGCTCTTGGCTGGTTAGGCACCGTTGCACGCTTCCTTCTCAAAGTGGTGTGTGGCTATGTGACACCAGAAAACCATACTGGTGTGCCAGTAGCCTCGTAACCACCAACGTGAAATATCATAATTTGCATGGTCCTACTCCATAATTTAGTAGGTAGAACATGACACTCAGTTACTGTCTTAGCTCACCGTGTTATTGGGTCACTTATCAGGGGAGCATCTTCCCATAGGCTTTTACTCTCTGTATAAAGCATCAGCCTGTTCCCTTTGCCCACTTAACTGATTGCCCCTGGAGGTGGGGGCGCATCTGGGGTCCTCGTAGGTCTCCTGGTCACTTGGGCCTTCTTCCCCTCTTGAATGAGCCTTAATACTTCCCTAGAAGTGTCCCCACAGCCCTGGAAAGGCTGCCCCTCCATTTCCAGGTGCCCATAGCACCATGTCCGGGGTCTGCGTTGCACTCTGCCTCTGCCCTGAAACCTTGGCTGTTCTGTGGGAAGAAGCAGTTGGGCTCCCGCTGGCAAGCAGCAGGGGCGGGGGTGGAGGGACCCGCAGCATCCGGAGGGACCTCTCTGCTCCAAGGGTTGTACCTGCTCCTCCACCTCTCCTCCCATCTCAAGCTGTGGAGGGGCTGGAGCAGGGCTGGATTCAGCAGGCACTGATCCCTTTCCGGGCCCAGGGACGTATGGGGCCCTAGGGACCTGGACAGTAGGGTTACCACAACCCCAAGACTCTGGTGGAGTCTGACAGAGGACTGAGGTGGAAAGGGGACAGGGGTGTTCCCTGGTTACTGAATTCTCTTCTCTGGGTCTCAGTTTCTTCATCTCTAAAATTCCTTTAATGGTTTGAGAATCAATGGTAAAATCAAGTCAGCAGTGCCTAGGCTTTTGTTTTGTTATGTCTAGAGATTTCTAAGATAAGCCTTGACAGAAGCTGGGCTCCCATGGGTGGAGAATTTCTGCAGGGCGCCTCCTCTATTTGCATATTCTTCTCTTCTTAGGGAATCCATAAGGGTTATGCAGA